ATCTGGGCTACATAGTGAGTTCAAGTCCAGAATGAACTACACATCAAGACACTGTCATGTAAAAACAAAATAAGAGGTTGGGGATTTAGCTAAGCAGCATAAGCACCTCCCTGGCAGGAGCAAAGACGTAAGTCTGATCCCCAGTACAAAAAAAAAAATAAATTCTTTTCTGAGTTTTGCTTGGTGGCCATCCCTCCTGATAACTCAGTACCAATTTTACTGAAGGTCCCTTGCATGTGGTGAGTTATCCTTTTCTGGCTGCTTTCACAATTGTCTCTGATTCTTTATAACTTGACTATGACCCAGTGCATCTCTGAGTTTATCCTATTTGTAGTTCATTGAACTAATTGTATTTTAAATCAAACTGGGGAACTTTTCTTCTTTTATCTCTACAAATATTATTTCCTGTTTCTTTTTCCTTCCTTCTGGGGCACACATTGATGCGTCTGATGGTATCACAAGTCTCTGAAGCCTGCTAATTTTTATTTTCTGTTCCTCAGCCTAAATATTCTCAATTGACCTGCCTATCACCCCCATTCCTCTGAAAAGGAGATATTAAGACATCACCAGACAAAGAAAATGGAGAGATTTATCACTGAGACTTGTCCTGAAAAAAAAAAAAAAAAAAAAAAAGACTGAAGACGCTGCATGGAAATGAGCGTTTCTTCTCCTTCAAATCTGCTGTTGAGCCTCTCCAGTGAGTTGTTTTGACTTCTAAGCCTGTAGTTCACACTGGCCTTGAACTAACTCTGTAGCCCAGGCTGGTCTCTAACATGCAATGATCCTCCTGCCTCAGTCTCCTGAATGATGAGAATATAGGTGTGCACCACCACACCTGCTCATCCCAGAATCTTACATCACTGTTTATTATGGTGTTGTTATTTGTTTGCTGATTTTTCTGAACTAATTTAATTTTGTGAAGTCTGCTTACACACACACACACACACACAGTCTGGCTCTGCATTCAAAGCCATTCTCTTTGTTCAGCCTCCTGAGTGCTAGGATTACAGGGGTGCACCACCACCCCAGGCCGAAGTCTCTTTGGTTATCTGGGCCTTGAGGTGATTACTGGACAGGATCTTAACACCTTGGAAAGGCTCAGTGCTACAGCCTAGGGCCCCTTCCAGAGCCCAGTAACTGGCGGCTAGCAGCTGCCTGCACAGAGACCCCCTTCCCTAGAACAGGGTCCTAGACCACCGTGCCAGGTGCTTTCCAGACACGCCCTGCAGACACACTGCTGCTTTCTGGACTCTTGGGAACACACAGGAAAGTCTTCACAGCTTTCCAAGGGACATCCCATTCCACAGTTATTCTTTTCGACTTTTGTTTTGGTTTTTTTGGGGGGGGCGGGGGGAAGGGGTTACAATCCTCCTGCTCAGCCACACCCAGATGCATGGCCACACCCAGCCTCCTTTTGAGAGTTTTGGTTTGTATTGTTTGTTTCACTTTGTCTTGCTTTACTTCGCTTTGTCTGTGGTCTCTGGTGAGCTCCCACTGGTTTTTCAGACAGTGACAATGCTCAGGGGATGGATCTTCTGGATCCTCCAAGCCCTATCAGCCTCACCAGGGAGCCAGGAAAGTGCTCATTTCCCGAGCTGCCATGGTCTTGAGGTCCTGCTGTTCTTTAAGGCTGCTGGGAATGTGACAGAGAGGGGCAGCTCTGGGACAAATTCAAGTGCCACAGAGATCCGTATTTTCCTGGGACTCAGCTGCTTTATTTGAATCCATTCTTTCTAGATTGCTGAGAGCATTGGGGTACTTTGCAGAGCTCAGGAAAGGTTGGATTTGACATGTTTTCTCAGCTTTCTGTTTTGGTGGAGGAGTGGGGTGTTCACAGATTCTCACTTCACTGTTCACTATTCTGGAATTGCTACCTCACATCCTTTTTCTTTTTAATTTTTAAAGATGGGATCCCACTATGTTGCCCACTATGTTGAAATCCTGGTCTCAAGTGATCCCCCTGCCTCCGTCTCCCAAGTACTGAGGTTTACAGCTCTGCTCAATCTTCTTTACCTTTTGGTTGTTGTTTTGAGACAGTGTCTTGCTTTGTAATTCAGGATGGCCTTGAACTCACTATGTAGCCCAGGGCAGCTTTGAATTTGAAGTACTCTTCCTGCCTCAGCCTCCAGTGTGCTGATATCATACACAGCTGAGTTAGGTAGAAATATCCTAGGCAGTCAGACAGGACTAGGCTCTCAAGAGAGTCAATACAAAAGATGAAAACGAGCTGGGTGTGGAATCCCTGCAATCCCAGCACTCGGGAGGCTGAAGCAGGAGGATTATTGCAAGTTCAAGACCAGCCTGGGCTACAAAGTGACTTCAAGGCCAGCCTGAACTGCATAGTGAGACCTTGTCTCAAAAAGACAAAAAAGCAAGCAAGCAAGCCCATTACAACTGTGCCTGAAGATTCATCTGTTAGAGCTCAGGCCTCAAGATAAAGATAGAATAACCAGGTTTACCAACCTCCACAAGGGGTAAGATAGTGGCAACACCTGGTTCAATAAAGTAGATAGACATCAGTCACCTCAGTGTGTGACCAAGACCCTCAGACCCATCCCTTTCTGGAAAGTTCCTTGTTCTTTCCATGTGCACTTGCTGCATGGCTTGCTTTCCCATTGGAACAGTGTTACCTGAGTGGCATCCCTGCAACTCTATTGGTTGATCATAGTTTTGTCCCAAATTGTACCCACCTCATGATTTTGCACCCACCTTGTGATTTTGCTCTATAAAACTTCCTCTAGAAAGTCGGCCCTGTGGCAAGCCATTTGGGTCTCCTGTCCCTCTCAAGAGCTGTCTCTCAATAGAATTTCCTACTCTTAATCTCATCATTCCTTAGAATTCATTCCTCAAGCAGCCATGTTGGCACATGCCTGTAATCCCAGCATTTAGGAAGCTGAGGCAGGAGGATCGAGGCAAATTTGAGCCCAGCATGGGCTATATAGTGAGTTCAAGACCAGCCTGCATTACATAGCAAGACCTTGTCTCAAAAAGAAACCAAATAAATAGAATTTATTCTTCAATTTTGGGGAACACGAACTCTGCACATGGGACATCTAGCAGGTTGGGAGTTACATTTATTTTCCCTGTATCTGACAGTCCTATGTCACTGGGATCATCGGACTGTGCCTCCATGCCCAGCCCTCCATTCAATCTTTGTTTTTTGTTTTTTGTTTTTGAAACAGAGTCTCACTATGAAGTTTAGGCTGACCTGAAACTCACTTTGTAGCCCAGGCTGGCCTCAAACTCATGGCAATTCTCCTGCCTCAGCCTCCCCAGTGTTAGGATCTCTATCCTATCTTAATAGCAATCTCAGGAAGTGTTTTTTTAGCCCTTGTTTTTACTGCAGAAACTGATGGTCAGTGAGGTCAGGTGACTTAGATAAGGACACAAACACCCTAAAACCCAATCCCAGATTTGAACCCCTGAAGGTCCATCAACTTTCAGGGCCCTCCCACACAGTGCCTCCCCTTGAAGCTAATTCTCCTCCTCCACACCAGCTGCTGACACTGAATTTATTCTGGACTCGCCTGTGGGAGGAAGGCTAAGAAACAGTCCAGTACCTGGCTATGCCAGCTGGAAGCAGGGCTGAGGACTGACAGGCAGGAGGTGAGTCCCAGGTGTCAGACCAGTCCCCTGGAGGAATCCTGAAGGAACGGTGGCAGCTCCCAGGTATCCATGCTGCTCTCCTTGCCACCAGGAATGTTAGTGCCTGCTGTCCCCAGGTGAGCTAGCAGGACGCACCACATCACTGAGTCACACATGACTAGGTCCCTGGCTGAACGCAGGCCTCTTCTCCACACCCCAGTCCCTGACTCCCCATCCCAAGCTGATAAACAATGAATTAAAGCACAGGCCTGAGCAGCCACTCTTAGTCCCAGCCACCTTGGCCACAGTCAGGTGGAATCTGGGGAGGAGGCTGGGGTTCTTCAGGGGCCCGGTCGTGGTGACAGGAACGCAGAATGAGTGACGTAGACAGAAACCGTGCCTTCCTGGAGCTCAGTCTGGTCAACAGAGGGCATCCTAGTGCACACTGGAAGGTGATACGTTTGCTATTAAAATATATAAGAAGTCAAGCATGGTAGTCCACTTCTCTGGAGGCCGAGGCAGGATTGCCATGAGCTCAAGGCCAGCCTAAACTACATAGTGAGGCCCTATCTCAGAGGGGAAGAAAGAAAAGAACAAAAACCATGTGGGGGAGGAGATGTGTGGAAGGGTGTAGGTGGCAAGGAGTTTCTTTGTTTTGGTTTTTTGGGAGGGTTTTTGTTTGTTTTTTTGTCTTTTTGAGACAGGATCTCATTATGCAGTTCAGGCTGGCATTGAACTCATTTTGTAGCTCAGGCTAGTCTTGAACTCAATGATCTTCCTACCTCAGCCTCCCAAGTGCTGGTTCACAGGTGTGTACCACCACACCCGGAGTGATGTGGCAGTTTTTAATCCTGAGCGGTCATTCAGGTATGTCATACCACCATCTTTCTGCCTCAGCCTCCGGTGTGCTGGGCTTATAGTCGTGAGCCACCAGCCCCGGCAAAGTCTGGCTTTAAAAAAAAAAAAAAAAAAAAAAAACCGTACAGTTTTGGGTGTAGCTCAGTGAGAAGACCCTGGGATCAATCCTTCAACACTCCACTCCAAAAATATGTGCGCATTTGTAATTGGCTCAATGCCCAGCACACTGACTTTTTTTTTTTTTTTTTTTTTTGTACTGGGGATCAAACTCACGACCCTGCACTTGCCAGGCAGACGCTTACACCATTGAGCTAAATTCTCAGCTGCACACTGACTCTTACGCAGAGAGGGCGCGCCAAAGATAGACGGACACCGCCCCCTTTTTCTCACGCGCACGCGCGGCCGCAGCACGCACAGAGCCCTGTCACGCGTGCGAGCTCAACTCGAGCCACAGTTCTGGCAGGCGATGGAGAGGCGGGGACTTACCCTGCGCCTGCGCATTGAGGGAACGTGCGTCGTGGGGGCGTGGCCGCGCAGGCGCGCAGGGCGCCCCGGCCCCTGAGCATAAACAAGAGTGGGGCCGGGATGAGGCGACGGTTGAGTCTGGGACAGCTAGCGGCGGCGAGTGGGACCCGGCACTGACCCTGAGTGCAGCTCGAGCCGTCCCCCGAGGGCGCGCGCCTCTCTGGCCGACCCGCCGCGCGCGCAGCCATGAACCTCGCGAGTCAGAGTGGCGAGGCTGGCGCTAGCCAGCTGCTGTTCGCCAACTTCAACCAGGATAACACGTAAGGCCGGGTCTGCAGCCGGGGTCGGGGCCAGAGGTCAGGGGTCAGAGTTCTTAGCGGGCCTAGGGCTTCCGCCTCGCGCCGGTTCGGAGGGGTCGCGGCCTGGCCTTCTGGAGCCGCTGCTGAGGCGCAATGCTCTGGGCGGGAAGGGAGTGGAGGAGGCTTCCTGTCGGATTCAGGCTTGGACCCCACTTCTCCCCATGTTACAGTGGAACTTTGCGGCCTGACTCGCGGTCCCGGCTTCCCGCCCGCGGCGTGGACTTGTCCCCCACCTCCGCCTCCAGGCTCTGCCTTTGCCCTGCTTTTCCCCTTCCGGCCTCTTCCTCGTTCCCCTCGCATCCCATGGCCCCTTCTGTCGCTTTTCTTCCTTTCGCGCTGTTCTCTTTGCCAGGTAACTTTGTTTCTTCCAGACAGCAAACAAACTTAGTAATGTACTGGCCTCGGCCCAGAAGAAACTGAGCCTAGAGGAGTACAGGGACTGGCCCGAGGGGTCTCAGAATGCAGGGGGCGGGGCATTCTTGGGCAAGAGAGACCCTAAAGTCAGTTAGGGGTTTGAACCCCTGCTTATTAGCTCCATATATGATAGGGGTCGGAAGTGGCCTCTTCAAGGCTCCCTCCGATGGGTCTTGAAGGGAGTTAATAGATAAGTTTTCTGGAGAAGGAAAGATGAGTTAATGGGGCTGGACGGGAGAAGAGCCATCTTGGGAAGTGAGTAAGAGGAAGTGATGTAAGAGGAGGAGGAGGAGTGGGTCACTTGGCATCATTTGAAGTCCTTGGTTGTTAGTGGCAGAATGGAATGAACAAAGTAGAAAATGTGATTTTTTTTTCCTAATTAAAAAGTAAACTGCAGAGTGGCAAACCCCAGGTTGAAAGTGCAGCACGTGCCCTCTCAACAGCACCTTCTCCAAAGTTGTGTGGTTGTCAAAGACAGTCCTACAGCTGTGGAGATCCAGTGCCCACCCGGAGGCCCAGATGACACCTGAGGAAATTCAAGTCTAGAAAGGTTCAGTGTTCCTGGATCTAACAGTTGGTTAGTGTGGCATAGGGGTAGGCGCAGAATCTTGGCTCCCGAGTTCCCTGGCAGTGTTCTTTTTCACTGTGCCATGCTTGTTTTTTGTTTTCGTTTTTATTTTTCATATCTCCAGAGCAGAATTCTGAAGACAGTTCAAGAACAATGGTGTAGCAATCTATAGAGATTAAGACTAGCAAATACTGTAATGTTGTGTGTGACCACAAACCAATCCACACAGCCTGTTGCAGTTTGTTGTAACTGGGATCAACGAGGTAATGTGGAGAGAGAGGAAGAAATTTTGAATCATTCTGGTTTTATTTAAAACCTTTAGAGTGTTTTGGTTATTGGTTTTTTATTTCATTTTGATTTTTTGAGGTAAGATAGTTTAGGCTGGCTTTGAGCTCACCATGTCACCCAAACTAGCTGTGAACTTGAGGCTATTCTCCTTCCTCAACCACCAGAGTGCTGGGATCACAGGAGTGTGCCACCATGTCCAGCTTAAGCTCTTAGTATTTTGAGACCAGTAAAAAAGATATAAAAGTTAACTTTAAAATATTTAGGGAAAAAAAATAAAAAATAGAGGGCCAGGGATTTAGCTCAGGGATAACTGCCTGCCTGGCAAGAGCAAGGTCAAGAGTTAATCCCCAGTACCAAAAAAAAGAAACAAATGACATAAGTGCCTGCTTGGCAAGGGCCAGGTTGTGAGTTTGATCCCCGGTACCAAAAAAAAAAAAAAAAAGAAACAGAAACAAATGACAGTGTTAGAGGGGGTTTTTTTTGTTTTTGTTTTTGTTTTTTTTGTCTTTTTCCTTTTTACCGGTACCAGGACTCACGACTGCCTGCTTGCAAGACAGACGCTTATGCCGCTGAGCTAAATCCCCACCCTCTATGCCTTTTCTAAATTAGAGAATTTCCAAAATATTTTCTAGTGATTTTTCAGCTTTTCACTACTTATTTCAGAAGGAGGTCAAATACAGAAAAGGATTCTCTTTTTTTTTTTTTCCCCCTTTTTATGGGTACCAGGGATCGAACTCACAACTGCCTGCTTACAAGGCAGGCGCTTATGCCACTGAGCTAAATCCCCAGCCCCAGAAAAGGATTCTCTTGATTGGTTTCTTTTTAAGATAGGGTTTCACTATACAGTTCAGGCTGGCCTCAAACTCACATCAAACCTCCTGCCTCAGCCTTTCTAGTGCAAGGATTGCAGGAGTGTGCTACCACACCTAGCTGTTGTTATTTAAAATGGGCTGCCAAGTTCCTCATACACTAAAATGTCACTCTGGCCTGAAATAGAACCTTTTCAGTTTTGGGAGTCATATGTTACCCTCTTAGTATTGAAGTTATTAATGCAAGGTCTCACTATACAGTTTACGCAGGTCTTGAACTCACTGTATATCCCAGGCTGGCCTCTCAAGTGGTGGGATTACAGATATGTGCACTACCACCATGGTCTCTGTGTCATAATCTTGACTTGCCCAAGAGACCTCGATGGACAGTGAACAAATTGGGAGGAATAGTAAATCAGAATTATATTCAAAATTTATTAGACTAAGATGATTCTGGATTTGACTTTGCATGGTTTAGTTTTTGATGGGGATGATGGTGGTACTGAGGTTGAACCCAGGGCCTTTGCACTGAACTGCAGCCCTAGTCAATCCTGTCTCCCTTTATGTATTTTCAGACAGAATCTCACTAAGGAAGTCACCAAGCCTGGGGTGGAACTCTCAGTCTTCCTGCATCAGACTCCCAGAGTACTGGCATTGTAGACATATGCCACTATGCCTGGATAATTATTTTTTGAGTGCTATGTCAGTGTTTCCCAAATTATGTGAAGCTTAAAAGTGTCTCTTTGGAGAACTAAGAAATTTAGCCATAAAGAACCCCACCACCAGCAGCTTTTATATTTTAATAGTTAATATATCTAGAACAGGGAAAGATTATTTGAGTTCCCAATTAGTATCCTCCTGCCCTGAATATAGTATCTGTACTTCAATACCAGTTTGAGAGGTATATTTATCTTTCTTTCTTTCTTTTTTTAATTTTTTGAGGTAGGGTCTTGGTATGTAGTTCAGGCTGGCTTTGAATTCACTATGTAGTCCAAGCTAGCTTCAAACTTGTAGTACATTTGCCTGTAATTAGTTATAAAGCTACACTTGAAGGAAATGTTCCTGCCTTTCCCTCTCTTTCCTTCCCCACTCTAAAATTGTTAGTACTGTAAAGGAAGATGATTTTTGGTGAGGCCAGAATGTTGATCTAGAATCCACATGTACTGTTCTTACAGACACTTGCAGGCCATTTCCCTCAGTCAAGTCTGTGTAAGTTATATAGCAATTTTACTTGTTTGTTTTTTGTCATTAAAATGTTTAACAACCCAGTATTCATTGCAAACCAAGCTATATTTGTCTTACCTTTCTTCTTGTAATATGATCTCAAGCTTTTCATCATGGTTCTTATCCTAAAAGTATGATTAAGTTTTATTTGCTTTTTACCATTTGTTTTGTTTTTGTTTTTTCAACTAGAAGAATGCAAAAGAAAGCAGGAACAGCTGGTCACAGACGTCCTCATGTTACCTGGTTAGTTCCCCCCCTGCATTCTGGAAGTAACACTGTAGAAGGCTTACATTGGAGCACTTGGCTTTTTGAAGTGAAGTTACCAGTAAATAAGTGGCAGGTGGTCACTTGACTCTTCAATGGAAATATCAGGGACTAAATTTTTCCTGTGGCTACCATAGCCTATGGGAAGTTAGCGACCATGTCTATTTTAATTGGAATTTCTGAAAGAGATAGCTTAAAGAAAAAGCTATGCCTTCTCAAGCTTTGTGTTTGAAGAATTGATGTTATTAAGTGTCTGGAGGTATTGATTGCTTTTATCCACTATGTTTCTTGTTTCCAGGTGACTATTACCATTCTGGGAGATACTGTTTTCTTTGTCCTCATCTATAAGTTGAAGATGGTTTTTGAAGCTTCTTCAGCCTTAAAGATGGCCATTCTGCCTGCTGTGCAGAGGATATGGCTGAGAAGGACACTGCCCATCAGCCGTGGCCAGTGGCAAGGATAGTGACCCACAGATGTGCTTAATGCACGTACGAGAGAAGCTGCTGAGTTTGGTTTCTGCTATGGTTTCTGTGAATGATGACAGCACCTCAGGAAAAAAATTAGTGAAGGAGTCAAGCAAAGTACTGCACTGGGCCTATAAGCCCAGTGCTTGGGAGGCTGAGGTAGGAAGATCACTGAAGTTCCAGGCCAACCTGGACTACATAACAAGACCCTGTCTCAAAAAGAAAAGAAAAGACCAACAAAATAGTTTTTTTTTATCTTTTTATCAGTACTGGGGATCGAACTCACGACCGCGTGCTTGCAAGGCAGGTGCTTATGCTGCTGAGCTAAATCCCCAGCACCACAACAAAAGTAATTAATGAGGGAAAGAGCTCTGCTTGGGTACTCATGAGCCTGAAAGGCCTTTGGGCCATCCAGATGCAGGTTGTGGTGCAGATATGAGTTGGAAGAGGAGCTGTCCACCAAACACATGGTGGCTGTGGTCCTCAGTGAGACTGCCAGAACCTAGCAGGTTTCTGGCAGGAACATGCAGGCTTCTTCCTGTTTACAGTGTTGGCCTGTTCCCTCTTAACCTCATAATCATGAAGAAGGTAACGAGAGGGAGTGAGCTTTATTTGATGATTGGGAACAGGGTAAAGACAAGGAAGATAAGATCTTGTTCACATTTGTGTGTGTGTGTGTGTGTGTGTGTGTGTGTGTGTGTGTGTTACTGGGGATTGAATCCAGGGCCTTCACACTGAGCTATATACCTAGCCCAACCCCTCCTCCCCACCTTTTTGAGACATGGTCTCACTGTGTAGTTCATACTGCAGCAATCCTCTGCTTCAGCCTACCAAACGCTGGGATTACATGCATGTGCCACCACGCCCACGTAAAAAGATAATTTAAAGATCTAAGCCCTTGTGGGAGAAAGGAGATGCAGCAAAATTTGGGAGGCAGCAGGAGGTAAAGAAACTGAGTCCTAAATTACTAATGGAAAAGCATAGAGTTGGTTTAAATCAGAGTCCTCTGAGGTTCTGGATTTGGACCCTCTGAAGCTGAGAGGAGAGGGGTGGGATGAAAATAAATGTGTTCAAGGAGCAGTCACTGCTTGGTTCCCTGGCAGAAGATAGTTCCGTCTCTGGAGAGGCCAAAACAGGGTCTCCACATTTAGGCGCCAGGTACATAATAGTGAAATACGAAAAAAAGCAAATACATCTTTTTTTTTTTTTTTTTTTTTTTTTGAAAATTATCATTGCTAGTTTTCCCTTTGTCAACCAAAGATCCCACTTAAGATTATTTATAAGTGTAAATCTCATACCTGTTGCTCCACTTCCCTCATTATTATGTCTGCCATGTTACTGTCAGGAAAATCATGAGGGATTGTGTTTATTCTGGTGGTGCTAGAGTTTGAACCCAGAGCCTCTGCACTGTGCTACATCCCCAGCCCCTTTCTTTTATTATTTTTATTTCAAGACAGGGTCTTACTAAACCACCATGTTCTCTAGGCTGGCTCCTGCAAAGCATGAACCACTATCCCAGTATGTGAAAAGATTAAAAACAAAATCTCCAAAAAGACATATGCAAACTTGATTGTTGGGTTTTGAGTTGAAAATCTCATCCTTGTGGGGTGTATGCTAAGAATTGAATCACCCAGAAGTCTCTCTCCCACTGAGCTATATTAATAGCCCCAGCCTATTAGTGTCATTTTAACTAACAGCCTTAGCTAATAAACTATAGACTTGTTCTGCAGTATCCACGTCTCAGTAAATACTTGGGATGTTTTTGCTTCTATTTTTTTTTTAAATTGATTGGAGTAGGTTTGTAGACTTGCAATTGCTTAAAATTCAAACTGAGGTATCTAATATTCTAAATCAGTCTCCTAAAGAACGTCAAACTGGATTGGGCAAAGCCTAGTTTTAACAGATTCTGTCCATGGGGAACACAGTTGAGAACTGAGATGTCTTATACCCAGGGATCTGGTTCTACGGCTCATTAATCTTGCTGGAGAGAGAGGCCCACTCCATGCTTACTTTATAGGTAATGCTAATAAGCATGGTGATTTAGTTTCCAAGTCAAGAAATTATAAGGAGAGGGGCTAAAGGTAGATGGTCACAGGAAAAGTAACTTTCAGCAAACTAAAAGGTAGGAAAGGGTTGTTTTGTTCTGTGTGCTATGAATCCAGCCCCTGGCCTCAAGCATTTTCCCCTGAGCCCCCACCCCTACCTCCAAGATATTCTTATAAAAACTCTACAATCTGGCTCTTTCTTTCTTTTTTTTTTTTAATCTTGTTAAAGACAATTGTCTCACTGTGCAGTTCACACTGGCCTTAAACTCACTTTGTAACCCAGGCTGGCCTTGAACTCACAGTAACCCTTCCTGCATCACTGTCCACAGTGCTGGGATTACAGGCTTGCACCACCACATCCAGCTTGAGTCTGGCCATTTGATGTGGGATTCATGAAACTCAGCTCAGAAAAATTTGCCTTGTTTTAAGAACACAGTAAAGTATACTAGAATGATTTTTTAAAAAAAAATCAGAAGTAAATCCAGGTGTGGTGACATATGCCTGTACTCCCAGCAATGGGTAGGTTGAGGCAGGAGAATTGCCTTGATTTCAGGATCTGCCTGGACTTCATAATGAGTTCGAGGCCAACCTGAACTTCATAGTGAAAACCTGTCTTAAAAAATAGCAGCAACAGAAAAATCAGAAATGGTCTATTGCATACACAAGGCCAAGTTTAATCCCTAATTTTTAAAAAAAATGGAAATAAATAAAATAAAAATCAAATAGTGAGAGGGAAAAGTTGTCTTCCTAAAATAGCAAACCTGGAAAGTATTTTCTTAAGCACCAGTTTTCCAAAATTTCTGGGTTGCAGATTTTTTGAGACAGGGTCTTGCAGTGTAGTTCAGAGTGGGCTTGAAATTGCAGTGATACTCTTGCCTCAGCTTCCAGAGTGCTAGGGTTACAGGCTTGTGCCACATACAAACATTTTCAGGTTTTAGTACTTGATTGCTTAATTGAAATAATTCCATATAGTAGAGTGGTTTTGTTATTGTGATAATAGTGGTTGAACAGTCAGCTCTTTTTTATTTTGACACAAGTTCTTGAACTTGTAGTCTTTCTGCCTCAGCTTCCCAAGTGCTGGGATTATGGATATGTACCACTTTGTGCAGCTAGTATTTTTGCAAAGAAAATATTAGCTGAAGGAAGACTTTCTGTTGGTGTTATTGATCTTCCTGCTTCATCCTCCCCAGTGTTTGGGATTACGTCTGGCTCCTGCTCATTTGTACTTCTAAGATAAACTGATAGAATTTTATGCTTTAGTAGTGCTTATGGTAACTGCCTTCTGGGAGCAGGTTTCTTCTACAGGTATATAAGTGAAGCTGGAAATCTCAAGTTCCTAATGGATGACATGATCATTAAAATAGCCCTGAATTTATCTTGGTACCAGTAGTCAGAGTATGAAATTTCTGTCTTCTGGTTTTCTGCTTTATTCATCTGTTTTCACATTCCCTCAGATACTTAAAACAAATCATCCTAGTGCCTGATTCTGCGTGTGTCCTACTGCTTCCCGCTCTCACTCATCTTTTGTGCACTTGAAGGCTGTGCTTTTTTCTCCTTTGTGCTCTCCTTGGTCAGTCGGGTTCTGTAGAGAGGTGATCACCTGATGAGGGATCCCTGCATTGGGTATAACCAGTCACTGTACTGGTGGGTTGGGGGATTGTCCAGAGGGTCCTTCTAAGCCTTTTAGCAAAAGCAGGGGTGGCAAATGGCATCTTAAATACAAAGCCATTGCAAAGGGCCTTTGCTCTTTCCTCTGAGCCTACAGTATTGTCTTCTGATTCCAGGGTCTAAGTTTGCTTTTTGGTCATCTCATGTCCACTCCTCCCACCCCTATTGTCTTGGGTCCTCGTAGACCTCAGAGATGAGCAAGGACTAGCTTACTTTCCTTTCAGACTTCCACATAGTCTGCATATTTATCATGCCACTTGAGGAACTCCACTTTTTTTTTTGAGGGAATCAACAATTTAGGGCTAATACTTACATTTGTAGCTAAAACTTAACCTCTATTTTATAAGGTTTTTTGTTTAATTTTGCTTTTGTTACATATTTATTTTCATTTTTCCCTGGCTTTATCAATATATAATTTTATAAAAATTGTCATTAATCTGCCTTTAGAATATTTCCCCTCACTTCAAACACACATAGCCTGTTGTTCTCAACACTTTCTGAAGCAGTTCTAGACATCCTCTTTCATGAGTATCTGAGACTTTCATGAGTATCTGGCTGCCTTAACATTCTGAGTTGCTTCCAAACATTTCCTTTTCATGGTCATTTTGACTTCAGGGAAGATCCAGAAGTCCCATGGTGTCAGATCTGGTGAACAAAGTGAGTTACAATACGCTGCCATATTTTTGTGACTTTGCCTTTCTGTTGCGTGGCAGTTAGTGGTGGCAATATTCACTGATTTTTTTAATGACTCTTTGGAAAGATACAGAAGATATTCAGAACTGCTTCATAACGTAGCAAGAACAATGGGATACATGTTTGTTTGAAGCGGGGAGAGTATTTGCTGGGGAGTTAATGGTAATGTGTATTTCTGCAGTACATTTTTTGTTTACATATTCACTGTATATTTTGATCTTACCTCATATGTTGTGACATAATTAATGCAGTGCAGTTTTAAATATTCAGTGCCTACTCACTGTAGTCACCAGGTGGTATGTTAGATTCCCAGAAAATGTCTTAAAGGTTTCAAGTAACATCGTCTCCTCTATTGGACGTGTAACATGGTGTGCCGGACACCTGTACAAAACATATGAAATTACTTGGACTGCTAATTTCTGGTGGAAATACTGGTTACTAACTGGTAAATTGGAAGCAATTTTGCATTATCACTGTCTACATGTATCAGCTCTTATTTCTGAATTTGGCTTTTTTGCAGGTCCCTAGCTGTTGGTAGTAAGTCCGGTTATAAATTTTTCTCCCTTTCTTCTGTGGATAAGCTGGAACAGATCTATGAATGCAGTAAGTGTTTACTTTATTTTTCCTCTTCTTAAAAACCGTAGACCAGTTGCACTTGAATTGGGGTGCAGTCTAAAGTTCAGATATGGAGAAGCCAGAATCTAGATGGCACCAACCAGGCCTCTTCTTCCACCTTGGTCTCTGCAAGGGGTGACACTGGTGACAGTCTGTGGATGTCCTCCTAGATCTTTTTCTGTACCTTTGCATACATATAAATATTTATTTATAGTTTTGTTTTATGGGCTTTTTCAGTCAAATGTATTCTAATCAAATATAAATGCCATTTAAATCATTTAGGTTACTGCTATAGTTTCCAGAAAATGGAAACAGTTCCTTTGTTTGTTTTCTTGAGTTGTCATTTGCAGCTTTTGAACAGCAATATGTCACAGAGTCAGCGTGGAGTAGCAGAATGGTCATAAGTTTAGGGGTTTTTTTGCTCAGTCATTTGTCATGTGGCTTTAGATGGATTACTTCATTTCTGGGCCTCAGTTTCCTTTTACTTTTGGCAAAACAACTAACGCCTGCCTATGAGATGCTGTCAGGATTAGAGGTAATGAACAAATGGTGGTGTAGGCACAGCTCCACCATGAGATGGCAGGGAAGCTTTCGTTCTTCCCATGAACATAATTTTTGAAATTTAGATTCGCTGGCAGGTGTACTTTGTCCAGTTTCCCCCAGTGGTAAAACAAAACTGCAAAGTACTGCAACCAGAATACCCACATCCATCTCTCTTGTTCATGTCACTGTAGTTTTACTGATGTGTGTCTGAGTTTTCTACAGTTTCACACCTGAGGAGATTCCTGTATCTACCATAATCAAGATACTGAACAATTCTACAAACACCCTTCAGGTCACCCTTTATAACTGTACCTGCCTCCCTGCACTGCACCCACACCTATCCCTGGTCCCTAGCTGCCTCTAATCTGTCTTCCATTTCTCAGGTTTGGAAATTGTCAGTTTTTTATCACTGTAACAAAATACCTGAAGCAAGCTAAGTTTATTTAGTTACCTTTTGGAGGTTCAAGAGCACAGTGCCTGCTGCCTATGCTTAGTTCTGGTGAAACACATCCTTGCCCTCCCTATCTGTCACATCTATGAGAGCAGGTAGTGACATCTGGAAACCAGAGAGCTCGTGAACCTAGGTTTGCATTTCAGGGGTCTGTGTTAATCACTTATGAAGGACGACAAACCCCAGTGATCTGAAGACCTGCTAAGGACCCTTCTCTTAGAGGTTCCACCATATCCCAGGAGTGTCATTTAGTGGACCAAGCTGAGCCCACATACCTATGCAGACCATAGCAGAAGAACGTAACATTCTGGGATGGGGAATTCATCCAAGTTGTGTATGGTCGGTCATTCCTTTTACTAACAAATAATATCCCATGGTTTGAACACGCCTCATTATAACCATTTTCCTATTAAAGTATCTGTGGGCTGATTCTGATTTTTGGCTGTTACAAGTTAAGCTGTCGTGTGTCCAGGTGTGGTAGTGCACACTTGTACTTCCGGCTACTCAGGAGGCTCACAAACCCATACTGTGCAACTTAGCAAGACCTTGTCTCAGAAAGGGGGAGAGAAATCAGAGTAGTGTGTCCCTGGTTTCAGTCCCTAGTACTGACCCAAAAAAAAGTGGAAATGGGAGTAGAAAGGAGAAAGTTTTGTATGTGCACAGGTTTTCATTTTTTGGAGGTAAATGCTCAAAGGTGCAGTTGCTGGGTGGTAGAGTAGTTGTGTGCACAGATGTTTGAGAAACTGCACATTGTTTTCCAGGCTGGCTGTAGCATTTACGCTCCAACCAGTAATAAGTGCATGAGTTTCTCTGCACCCTTGCCGATGCTATCACTGTATATTTCTGTCACTCTGATAAGCGTGTGCAGTGCTATCTCATTGTGGTTTTGTGTTCCTTTGCCACTGACTGTGTTCAACATCTTTGTGTTGTGTTTATTGCTGTCTGTATATCCTCTGTGGTGAATCATTTGTTCCTGTGTTTGCCCACTTTGTAATTGGATTGTTTGTTTTTTTAATGCCATTTTGTGAATTCTTTCTATGCTATAGATACCAGTCATTATTGGTGTGTGGTTTGTATTTCCACCCACTTTGTATGTAACACTTAGAGTAGACCTGAACTTGCCTGTGGCTGGAACCTAAGGATCCTTATGAGGAGTGTAGCATTCATAGTTTGTGATTTGTCCACTGGGATATGGATTCACAAAGAGACCATTTTGATAGCTACATGAGCATAAAGTATTTTTGGTTTTTTTGGTTTTTGGGTTTTTTTCCGGAGACCAAGGTCTCATTGGGTAATTTAGATAGGCCATGAACTCACCATGAAGGCTAGGCTGGCCTCAAACTCATAGTGATCCTCCTGCCTCAGCCTCCCTAATGCTAGGCTTACAGGCATGCTACTGACACATCTAGTGAGCATAAAGTTTTGGAAATCAGGTTTTTTCCATATTAGAAATGCCAGTGTTTCTTTTTTTTTTAACACTTTTTTTTTCTTTTTTCTTTTTATCGGTACTAGGGATCGAACTCATGACTGCCTGCTTGCTAGGCAGGTACTTATGCCACTGAGCTAAATCCCCAGCCCCGTGCCAGTGTTTCTTTCTGAGTGTTCTGATATTGCCAACTTAGCTTTCTCTGTACTTCGGAGTCCATTTTGAATTCCATCTTTTCTACTAATCCCAAGAATGAGAGGTTCTGCTATAATGTGAATGGACATCTCCTGTCACTGTTACATCCACTGGTGTAGCACGTTTTAATCTTTAGGATCTGCCTTGTGCCAGCCTGTTCTGGTTGCTGGAGAGGAAGAGGAAGAGGGACAGCATTCCTGCCCTCACGACACTGGTGTCTAACTGGAAGAAAACTGAGAGCTGACATGTTAGCCAGGCGTGGTGGCACAGACCTATAATCCCAGTACTCGGAGAAGGAGGCTGACACAGAAGGGTCGCCAAGCTATTTTGTGACTTAGGCCTGGTCTCGAAAAATAAAAAGAGCTGGGAATATAGTTCTGTGCAGACACTCTGGGTTCAACCCCCAGTACTTTAAAAAGAAAAAAAGTAAATACATTTGCGTCAGGCTGGGCTGGGGGCACAGTGGCAAGCACAGACGTGAATAACAGCTCCTGTCCCAGGATAAAGCAAAGACAACAGGGCTTCTTTGTGCCACTTGCTTGGAATTACGGTGTTCCCCTGCCCCCAACCCCGTTGGAGGCCCCCTCAGTGGAGTGTGGGTGACTCCCCCAGCTGTCCCTGCTGTCACTGCCCTGACAGTGAGCACCTAGCCCTTGAGAGGGAGAGAGCAGCACTAGGCTTCTTAGACTAGGTTCCTTGACCCATGGTTCCTGCTGGCTGGCTCAGATTTCACTCCTCTTTTGTCCTTACACTGGTCTCCTGGTACTTCCCAAGTCTTGAGTAACTGAAGATGTGATCTAGATAAGAGGTGTGAACCAGAGCCACTATTCCTGGAGATCTCCCCACTGGACCTTTCCTCTGCAACCATAGCCCTGTCCCTGCAACAGGATTCCTGTGGCTTTGATAATGGCTGACACTTTCATTAAATTAAATCTGCAGCCAAAAGAAAGTCTCTGATTTGTGCTATTGTTGCCGCTTGTCTGTTTTGAAACCCACAGAATCTCCTTCCCTGTTTGAAGGCCAGGGGCTTAGCAAGGGAAAAAGAATACCAAAAGTTTTGCCTCTTCCGTGGTGTAAACTTGGCTGACTGGCTTTTGGCACCTTTTGTCAAAGGCTTGGATGGAAACAAATGTGTGTCTTGACAGCTAGTCTTTAAGGAGAGACTTTACTGACAACAGTGATTTGTCTTCCCCTTAGTGAACTTCAGTCCTTAAAAATAGATGATGAAATGGGCCAAGAATAGTTTCAGGGTTAATACTTTAAACTGCAGCTGTTTTCACTGTTCTGTTCCTAGAGTACTGTCTACCTTTCCTCACTCACATACTTTCTTTGAATAGACAAAAGAGAGTCTCTTGGGAAACAGGGTAGCCTCTGAGTGAATGTCCAGGTTGCTTCTCAGCATTTTTTTCTGTGGGTGGAGCTAGCAAACAATCTCACTTCCTATCTCAATATTTTAGTGCAGGCTGGGTATTGGCTCACAGCCTTCTAACTCTTAGCATCCATCATAAAATGAGATCTTTGCTGTCTCTTGCTGTTACAGAACAAATGAGCCAGAGTTTGTCCCAGGAGGAAAACAAGATTGACAGCTGCTTATTTCATTTCTTTAAAGAGTCAAGACCTTAATCCCCACAGCATTGTAAGGTTTTTACTGTCTCTGTTGTCATTTCAAACTTAGAAGGTGCACGAACTGGGCACACCTCGCCACTTGTCCGCATGTGTCCTGTGCGTTTTCTCCTTCCTCTGCAGGCCAGTTCTTGTTTGAAGACACATTGTATGCAAATGTGGTCTCTCCTCCTTAAAATGCTACTATAGTAATGTCCTCCAAAATGAATAGGTGGGGATTTACTGTTTGTAAAATATCACAAAATTTAGGAGCTGGCTTACTCAGATTCTACATTATGCCTTTTCTTTATGCCTTAGCATTTTCTAAGCCAGGAAGCATCACTCATGAAGCGTGTGGTTCCAAGACACTACATGAGGAAAATGTTCCCAGCTCAGCAAGTGCTGAAGCTCCATAGATATACAAATCATCCATCATTTCTTAACACCTTTTGTCAACCTTATTGCTTGGCCAAGAAACCAATCACCATTTACTTTACTGGCTATCATCTACATCTTAAGGTCTGAGAAGTGGTATTTTCTGAATCGTTCCTGCTTGACAGGCTACTCACCAGTCTGAATATTAATTTCAATGAGATTTATAGTAATGGAGAAACTGGTTGCCTCTCTTGCCTGAACCTGTAGTAATGGAATATTAGACTTAATTCCCATCCCTACAGAGCTCCCAACATTGGACAGGCTGATGTGGAAGTGTATTTCTATCAATTATTTAAAGGCTCTCTTCTTCCCTTCCTGCTTTAGGGGCTTTATCAT